TGGTGTGCAGAAGCAATACCTTCCTGTCAAGAAATAGTGTGTGAGAAAGGGAGGCTATAAATGAGAAGAGCATTCCCTTTCATTTTGCCCATGTAGCTCCTTGTCAGTTGACCCACAAATCTCTTCCAGTCCTTTCATGCTGAGATCTAGAGGATGAGCTTCAGCAGTAGAGCTGGATGCTTTGTTTTCTACTCCCACCACTCTCTGTGCAAAGAAAGGCCCTCCATTTTAATTTCTAAAAGCACTCATTCTTAATTCCCTCTTCTGTTCTGGGGTGCTGAGCTCAGTCCTGATCCTGAAGTAGTCTGTGGAGTCGGCTTCATAGGGAAGGACTCTGAACATCAGCCCTTAGAAGAGAATCTGTACTATAACATTGACTGATATTTTGGTTGTTATTAAGGACAACTCTGTGATTTTTCACTTCTGCTGTCAGACATTTAAATAATGTAGTCGGGCTGGGAATGCGAGGCCCTGGCAGACATTATATAAGTTCTTTAAACTCTCAGGATCTGGTAGTGCACTCTGCAATGTTTAATCAGAGTCCTGATTTAATTAGCACCCCTGCTCAGAGGAGCAGAGGTAATCAGTCACGTCACATGGGCGTACAAGGGCATCCCAGTCCAGGATTTGTGCTGGGTTCCCAGTGGCCTTGTAACTCTCTATTGGCTCCAGTGGCTGGGATCTCCAGTGCCGCTTGCTAAGAGATGGAACATGGGCTGAGACTGTTTGTTCTCTGCATCCCTTTTCATCTATAAATAATCAGTCTTGTTTATAACTAGTTGAGCCTGAATGTCTGGCAGTACAGTTTCTGTAAGGCAGAGTTTATTGTTGGTTATCTAAAAAAGTATATATATTTTTTATGTGGCCCATTGCCTCAATTTCAGTGGATCACTGTAACAGTACTGGTAGAAAGTGTCTGGAGTTTTTCGTGGGACAGGTTTGTTGGCCCTGGGGTTTTGTAGATGACCTATGGATTGGGCTTCTCCAGGAACAGGGCACAAGATTCCTCTGATTTGGGGCTTTTTTTGCCTGGTCACTTGAAATTGTGGAAGAATTTGCGAGAGTAGGTCCGATGCTGGCATGTTTTCAGTCATACAGGGGCATGCTGTTTGCGTTGGAGCTTGCCTTCCACACTCTCGACAGCAGATCTGTGCTGGCTGGGCTGTGTTGTTAAAGCAGCCGAGATGAGGAACGAGCTGTACTGCCGTCCTTGTGCCGGAGAGACTTGACCTACGTGGTGTTTTGACAGCACTGGGGAGGACTGGGAGTTCAGCCAGTGTGTGCTGTCCGTGGGGGTGGAAGTGGGGGGGATCTGCTGGCTCAACAGTAGCCGCGTTGTGACTGAGCACCTGTTCACCCCCAGCCTTCATAAGCTTGAAGGGCCTTGTCTGTGGCATTTACAGAGTATTTTAGAAAAACACTTTTTCCCTTAAATTGTAATAGAATTTTCACACCACCATTGCCCAAAATATTAGGAAAGCCACCCCCATCTGGAAAATCTTACAGCTCAAATCCTTCTCCTTCGTATATGAGACTATGGAATTGAACTGCTCATCCTCTCCATAAAAAGCCTCCTGGTGCTGCTACTGATTCTCGTCTGCTGCCATGAATAACAACTGTACCTCCGTAGTACAGGTTTGTTGCAGTCTGGAATTAGGTTCTCAGCCAGTACACTGGGCTTGTCAAGAGATGACTGGTAGTTCATTAACCCAGGGATCTCATCCAAATGGGCTAAATTTCCTTCTCTCATTTGTAAGCGTGCTTTGAATGCTTCTGGTACTCTCCATCTAAACACTGCTACAGGTTGTGCTGTTGCTGCTGTATCAAGGGCATGAATTGAAAGCACATATAGAAGGGCAAGCATCAATTCAGTGTATGTATAAATAACCTGGGTTCAGAATGTCTTAACTGGGTTGATGACAACCACCATGTTCCCCTGCCAACGTGCTGCTCCGGGACCTTAAATTTCCTCTGGCTCCTCCCACTCCTGCAGTTATTCTTAGCTGGACTTGTCGCGGTTCAGAGCTTCGTCCCAAGGGGATGCGCTGATCATTGCTGGTTATGTAATGGTATGGACATCGGGACAGCCGGACATCATGTAGTGCACAGTGTGCAGTGCCAAGTAGTCATCTCATTAACTGATCAGATCCTACCTACATGATAAGGGGACAGGAAAACGCAGTGCGAGCAAGCCCAGGTCTTCCAGACACTTGGTGAATCCAATTTGTCTACAGTTGATGGACCAAAGCCTCTCTGAATGCTAATCCTTCCTACCAAAGGCCAACTCTTGCCCCTTGAAATCATTTTCTTATTAATTGATTATGTAGTGTTTTTCTTGTCTGCAGATTCTACAGCGCTAAGCGCCCTACAATGACCAAATGCTAGTCAGGTTCTCGGCTTTAACGACTCATTCAAAGAACAGATGGAGCGCCTGAGGATCTTGTGAGCAAGACAAGTGATGTCATACTGAGAGTAAACTTCGTAGAGACCCCTCCAGAGTGATGTTTTAACATTTTACTTTCTTGCTTTTTTTACCCCAGCTTGTGTAACGGACTGAGAGTACGGGATGTAGAGAGGTCTATGTGACAAGTTTCCTCTGTCGTGAAGAATATACAGGGATTGCTTCTTTGGCAGTGATGCCACTTGCTTTTGACTTTCACAGCTGACCGGTCACTGTTTTGAGCCTCATGGGAGTTTTGTTTGTTTGGCTGAGGCTTTTCACAGCAACTTACATGTGCGCTCCTCTGTGCCGCTGGGTGTTTTACTGAAGCCCTCTTGAGCCACAGTACCTCGTTCCAGGGTAAAATCGCTGTGCCCCTCCTGGGATTTGAACCCGCAACCTTCCAATTACACTGCTGTTGGTCTCCGCAAAGACGTGTACAGGTGAATGAGTGGTGGTTTACGGTAAAGAGATCACAACGGAGAGCAGGACTGGCAGTCTGGCACACAGATGCTTAGTCCGTTCCTGTCTCTCTTTATTCTTCTGCTTATAAATGTTTAAACGTGTTCAGCCCTGTTGCTGTGCAGCGAGACAAGGAACACTCAGCTCCCCCCTGGGGGAATACTCATGAGCCCTGCAGCCTCGGTGACTGAACACCTGCCACTGTGTGTGTGTGCGCGCGTGCACGCGTGTGCGTGTCTGTCTGAACGGGGGCCTAGTGAGCCTTCAGACAGCTGCTCAGGAGGCGTCAGACACCCACACCAGCTCGCGCTTCGCGAAACCTCACAAGCGCCGACTTCGCCCCCTCGCGCACAGACAAAAACCACACACACTTGGCGAGACGCAGAAGAACGCGTTGCTCAGTTGGCCGCTCAGCAGGTAATTGATCCAGTAGTCTGATGCTGACATTTCTGGAAGGTTCCATCTGTCCCTCCAATTTTCGCTGACAACTGCACCTGTTCTTCATTACCCTGAGGCCACGCCGGAAATGGTCTCTTCAGGTCATCATTTTTTGCTTTTTTTCCTCCTCCCCAAGACAGACACACACACACACACTCACACGTTCAAAAAACTAGCAGAAAAACAAGAGCCGGGAATATCTGCCTGTAGTCTTGCTCAATCAGGAGGATATGGAGGTTGATTAACTCGGAGACAGGGAATTTCTGTAATATCCTTATAGGAGCCATCCCACAGGATTACAGCTGTGATTACTGTCTCGATATTACTTAACATGCTCCCCCACGCAGCGATCCACATATTCTGGAGTCCTAAACGGTTCTTAAAAGTGGAGTCCCTGGTACATCCCTTTGAGGTGCAAAACTGACAGCTGTTCTGTACACGTATCCTGTCTTTGAATGCTAAACAAGACGGGATGAGCAATAACCTCTTTTTCGGCGGGTATTAATTATAGATTAAAAATCTAGTAGCTGTGTCTGTGCTTGTGGGTGTGCGTGCACATGCGTGGGAATGTGTGTGCAGTGGCTTGCTCAGCGTGGCACAGCGAAAAGGGGGACTTGAACCAGGAACCTCCTAATGAGAAGGGCTTTGGCTTAATCACTGGGCCTCCATCGCCTTCCCTTAGTGGCATTTCACTCCCTGGCAAGATTGCCTAAGCGTAGTGACATCTGACACACAGCCATTTCATCACTGAAACAGGCGTTCTTATCAAGCGATTTCCTAATCCTTCTCCTGTGTCTGTGTGGTGCGTGCACAGCATTTTTTTAACCTTCCTTGCTTCATTAGCTTCCCCCCCCCATGATAAGCCCTCTGAAGAAATCGCTGCCTGGATTCCATTACCCTCCCAGCCAGCCATTTTAAAATGAGCGCCCTTCGCCAGAGTGTAATTTGTCTATACGAGGACCTGCCCTGATGCACCAGGCCCAGATTTTGCAATACTGTTTTGTGTTGTCACGCACACTGAGGGGCTGTGTGGAGGCTGTTCTTGTGCAAACTGCTAGGTTGCTGCCTTGTCTCCCAGGAGCTGGTCTCCTGGGTTTCCAGTTTAATCCCTCTCTAGCTGAAACTAGGTTGTGGTAGGCGTCTCTTGCGCAGGCATTGGCTTGAGGCTGGTCCTGCCCTGCTGGGGCTGAAGGGGGTGGCCGGGATCTCCCTGGGTTCTGTCTCAGTCGGCGTGCGAAAGGAGTGTTGTGATCGGACCTGCTGTGGGTGCTCGGTGCCCTGCTCTGTCAGGCCTTGCTTCCCACACGCTCGCCCTTCCCATCTGCTCTCCTTGCCTGTCCTTCTGTAGCTCCGGCTGCTGATATGTCTCAATTCTCTCTCTCTCTCTCAAGTGTGCTCAGCTCAGAGTCCATCACTCCGGCCATTCTCTCTCTCTTTCTCCCTCCCCTTTCCCCCATCTAAATGGAATGCCATTCTGATGTGTATTGGCACGGCGGTTTCACCTTCCTCTCCCCCTGTCTGTTCTACTAATTTCTAGACGTGACGAGTCTCTCCGTCCCCCCTCTCTGGCCTTTCTCCCTCCAAGTTTCTTCTGCTTTCAATGTGCTATTTATAGCATGACGAGTCTCTCTCTCTCCCCCCCGGCTCCGTGTCTCCGCAGTACGGCCAGTAACTCCCCTCGCAGCACTCCCAGCAACTCGCCGGCGGTGCGCAGGCGGCTCCTGGTGGCCAGCCTGTCCGCCCGTTCCTGCGACAGCGAGGGGGCGCCCACCCCGGACCGCATCTCCGACGCCAACCTGGCCCCCGGACCCCAGCCGGCCCCCAGCTACCCCCTGGCCGCCCGCAACTTCGCCCGCAATGCCAAGGCGAGTATGGCTGACAGGCCGCCGATGAGCAGCCCCACTGGCTGAATCCATCTTTACGGTCCTGTCGGAGAAACGGCCGAAAATCCACAGAGGCCTCCTGACTTCTTAAAGGGGCCCTGCCACACTGTTTTTATATGTAGGCGTCAGAAAGAATCGGCGTTGATGATTAACCCACAGTGAATTTCAAACCACAATAAAAAGTAAAATGCACACAGTAACATGTCGAATCTGCCATTTACATTACAAAAGAGACCATTACCAGGCCTACACAGCGCCGTCTTCTGCGATTCAGGACGAGGCAATGAAACGGCCTCATTGAAGGGCCCTATTACATTGTAAACAAGCAGGCTTGTGAATACATGTTTTTTAATCCAATAGAAATATTGCTGCCGATTCCTAGACGGTCTTGCCAGCACATATTACTTACTTGTTAACTCTGCCTGCGGATCGTGTTGGAACAGTTCTGCGGTGAAATGTCTTCTGCACAATCTGTACTTATTCACTGTACATCGCGTGACATTAGTCACTGTGAAGGTTAGGGCCACTCCACGCCGCACTTCGGGAGAACTCAGATTGCGAGTTTGCAACACCATGGCGACTGGCTGCGCTTTCACAAACTTTGAGATTTTGTGCTTAATTTGAAATTTGTAAAAAAAAAATGCGATCCCGTAAATTAATGTATTTGGTTACTGGGGTTGAACACACTCCTGAGTGTTTGGGACTGCAGTTTCTCCTTATGTGTCTGAAAATCCCTTTGGTCTGGATTAATTAATCCTGCCATTAATTCCGGTGTACAGTAGCTTCCAATACCTTGGTTAAATCAGACTCCCTGTAGCTCAGCTGGATCAAGGCTAGTGATACCAGTCGAGCCTACCACTTTGTGAAATGTCTGTGGTTATTTTACAGTTCAGTCTTGCTGCCTTTGAAATAATTGCAGTTGTTTCGGACTTAATTTAAGACTAAATTAGACATTATGTAGTTAAGGGGGGACATAATCTATTTCTCTATTTTATGCATAAATTAAACTTCTTTTCTTTTTTGTCCTCTCCTTAGAAAATGCAGAGCTGGTACAATGTAAGTAAGCCTTTCCTTTCCTTCATTCAGTTGTTACTAGAGAACATTCTGGAACGTACCATCACACAGCGTTGTCCTGTTGCTGCCTTCCTATAATGCACTCTGACACCTGAACCTGGAGAGGGGGACAAAAGAAAACCATTTTAAAGTTGACTTTTAAAGTAAAAATTGGTGGGAAAACCAATTTCTGATTTTGCTTTAGGTGCTAATTCACTTGGTATTATCGTACACCACTCAATGTTTGTAGTGTATCGTTAGATTGTCGCCCGTCATCCAAGCTCCACAGCTTCGTGCAAGTGCATGGTTTTCCAAAACCAGAAAGGTCCGGAAAGCCTGGAAGAATGATTCCCAGAAAGTGAGTGATAAATACTTTCCCTTCATCCAGGTCCTCAGCCCGACATACAAGCAGAGGAACGAGGACTTCAGGAAGATTTTTAAGAAGCTCCCTGACACTGAGCGTTTGATAGTGGGTAGGTGTTGGCTGGGACGCCGCTGCTTATGGACCAGGCCTCTTCTCTCGTAGACACCATAGTCCATTTTGCAGAGAAGGCGTGGTACGTTTTGGGTTTCAGAAACTCCACCCTCATGTTCAGCGATATCAGCTTAGGAGATAAGGCAAAGAGTCTTGATGAGATGTCTTTTCGAACATCGTCTTGAAAGATTCCATTTATTTACCCTGAGAGAGGAAACAACAGGATTTTTCGAAGTATTGAAAATCCACGAGACTGAACTACTTCAGGTTCGGCAGCGAAGCAAGAGTCAAGACCCCTTGGTGGACATCAAGAGGAAAATCATTCAAGTGGTTCATTCTGTACAATATATGGGAATATGGTACAAATCTGCCCTCTGTGTTGTTGAAGTCCACTATGTGGTATTCCTTGGAATAGAGTGAGATGTTATTCATAAAGCTGCTTTTAATTTAATGACACTGGTGGGAGTGACAGGTCGGGACCTCCCTAATGTATTTTAAGAGAAGTAGTGGAATTGATGACTGGTGGTTGAAAGGCCATAGCAGAGCAAAACTCTGTGTGCTGGCGATTCTGGTGGGAATATAGTCCCTCTCCCCGCCACTCAAAGTCAGATCTTTAAGGTCCTTTTCTGATGCATCATCAAGATGGTTATGGATGGCTGGCTGAATAAAATGGGTTTAAGTGGGGTTCTAAAAACATTCCATACTCAAAACAGGGGTGTGGGCCTCCTGTGTTCAGGAGAACACGAGTCTGGGTCATGCTACAAGCTGCAAGCTGACAGTGCCCAGGATGCACTAAGTTGGTAGGGCAGGATTAGTCAATTGAGACTCTCTGTGATACAGCGCCCCCTGTG